CTCTCACATTATTTGATGGCTGAAGGTTCTGAAATACAACAAAGTTAAGCTCAAAAATCTCTGAATCCAAGTTTATTCTTTGAATAGGGCTATACCAGTTGAATGAAGCCTCAATGACACCAGGCCTTGCAAAGTTCCATCACAGTTCAGACACTCTTGGTTTAGAGTTTGAGATACTGACAGGCTCCAACCCTCTGGAGGGTATCCCCCTCTATGAAAAGGCACTGTGTAGAGCCAGGGTATGGAGGAAAGGACCTGGAGCCAGGGCCCAAGGTTTGAGCATTATCATTGCCACTCCTTTCTTCCTGGTCTTACTTTTTTAAGAGTCTGGGGCTCTGATGCACAGGATTGGTCACCCTACCCCAATCTGACCCCTCTGAGCCTTTAGCTCTGTGTCTCCTTCCATTCTTGATCCTTGATGGCGTCTTCCAGTAATTTGCTGGCAAGAAACCTGTTCTCTTGCCTCCCCTGAATGTCTATACAGTCATCGTTCTCCTCATTCCTCAAGACAGTTACAGTCTGGGCTGCCATTCCAGCTGGCCAACCCTCTCTGCCTTCAGGCACTACCACCATCAAGGACCACATTGGGCCAGATGGTTGCCCATCCTCCTCCAGGCCTCAAGGGAGGGTGTCACAGACTCCTGGATCCCTGATAGGAGCTTCTTTCACTTTCTAAGCTTAATCTCAGCAGTGACACACCCTGCAGGGCAGCAGCTGTGATTAATCCTGTGTTCTAGGCCTGGCCTTATGTCTGGCTGGTGCTGTGACACAGAGCTGCCAGAGAGCAAGGCATCCTGGGAGGGCACAGAGATGGAAAGCTCCCAAGGGTAACAAGTAGGGTCCTGGTAAGAAGAGAGGCAGGTGAAGCTAGAGGGGCCTGCAGGAGGTAGACCTGAAAGTTGGGGTCTACTCATGATGTCAGAGCTTTGGGGGACAGGGAGAAGAACTATATTTAGCACCGTGAAAAGTCAAGGGCCTGGGCCTCAGAAATGTAGTTTTAATTCTCATCTAACTAGTCACCACTAAGGCCCATGCCTGATATATCACCTTCCTGACAAATTATGAGCACAAGAAACAGAAATAGCTAGAAATGCTCTTTAAAAGGAAGATCACAATACATCTCACTGTCTCTCTCTCTCTCTCTCTCTCTCTCTCTCTCTCTCTCTCTGTGTGTGTGTGTGTGTGTGTTCCACACAGTGTAGAGTTGTTTTCCCCCAGTCATGCAGGCTATGTGAATGGAACCCAGGCGTCTGCCCTAAAACGTGTATACTATTCCTGGATGCCACCTGATTCACAGCAAGGGAATGCCTTCTCACTCCTTTCAGTGGTGCCCTGCCCTGCTTGCCATCCTAAGTTCCTACTGTTTATGTGACCCCCTTCCCAAGCACAGAGAACCCAGGTCTGGGGGAGGGTTGCCTTGAAGAGAGATACAGAAGCTCCACTGAACAGTACAGGCTTAGGAGGGATGTCGTATTGTACTCCACACAAAAGGGATGTCAGCATATTTACTGCCCCTTATCTACAGGGCTGTGGTCACTGAAAACTTCTCACTAGAAGGAATCATGGTCTCTTTCCTTCCTTCCTTCCTTCCTTCCTTTCTTTCTTTCTTTCTTTCTTTCTTTCTTTCTTTCTTTCTTTCTCTCTTAGATTTATTTATTATGTATACAGTGTTCTGCCTACATGTATGCCTGCTGGCCAGAAGAGGGTACCAGATGGTTGTGAGCCACCATGTGGTTGCTGGGAATTGAACTCAGGACCTCTGGGAGAACAGTCAGTACTCTTAACCTCTGAGCCATCTCTCCAGCCCTCATGATCTATTTCTTATAAACAAAAATAAAGAAGGCTTGAATAGCCATACCACCAAATCCAGGCCACCAATATGAGCCCCTTAGGTATGAGGTAGTGAATGAGGTCACTTAATCCCAAAGAGACCCAGACAGCTATCAGTCCCCACAGAAGGCCTTCACTGCCACAGCTGGAAACACAGGCTCTGTTCAGTTTGGGTTGAAGGCTTCTGAGGTGACAGAAGGAAACAGGTAGAGGCCTTGAATCCCTGTCAAACTGTAGTAACCACAGGAGGGCAAATTTTCCTCAGCACTTTGGTGGGGATGTTGGGTTAGTAGAGTTTCAAGGGGCTATGAGGCACACCCCAGCTCTCCAAGGCCTCTAGGGTCTGTCCTGTCCAAGAAAGTCTGAGGCACAGCAGGACCTGCATCAGTAGAGAGAGACCAGGCCATAGGAGGCTGCTTATCTGGGTATCTCCCGGGCATCTGCTTGTCAGTATTAAGATTTGAAAGTTTTAGATTTTACTGCCCCCACAGTGGTGGTTCCAATTTCCTACCAATCTAATATGTGTCTGAAATGATTCATGGAAAAATACCTTCGTGACCAGTAGACTTGTGTTGCAGAGTGTGGTTTCTAGATAATTGGTATCTAAACACATACACGTGTGTACATTACTATTCAAACTCTGGCTACCACTACATGCAGATATCCTGCCATAGAGAAGCCTGATGATCCTGTTATGAGCATGGGGCGGGAGAGGGGGGAGGCACTGCATACCCATAGGGGCAAAACCAGATGCTGCTGCCACAAAAATGCTGGGGTTGGAGTGGGGGCCACAGACTGAGAGCAGAGGAGCCTGGCCCAGCCCAGGGCAGCAGGCCTACTTCACCTTCTCCAAGTTGGCTTTGCCTCTTGAGAAGCTTACCAAACAGCAAGGAAGTCTCCTCCTCTTCTCTCTCTCTAATGCGGTTTGCCTAGCCCTTGTTCCTTCCCAGCCAACTTTTGCAACCGCAACACTTTCTCCACAAAACAGAAACAGCTGGGGTGCAGGGCTTTTTCAGGCTCCTCCTCCCACTGCATGGGCTTGACTTTCAGATGCCTTGGGTTCTAGCTGAAACCTTGTTTTGGGTCAGGCCCAGATGGGCCTCCCTCAGTCTTCCAGGGAAATAAAATGATGCTGACATCATAACGGCACCAGTAATAGTAACGATGATGGTAGCATTTACCGCTATCATACTCCTGTGTGTGTGCCAGGCCACTATCATTTTGTTTCTTCCAGTTACAGGCTATATGGTACAGTGGTTATGAGCAAAGCCTCTGCTGCCTTGGCTAGTTATTGAGTCTCTCTGTGGCTCCAGGTACTCATGTATAAAATGAGTATCTCCTTCCTGGTAGATGTGAAAGATATGAACGCACACCCATAAAGTGCTCAGCATTGTGTCTGATACCTCCTAGTCAATTCTGACTGAGCACTGGCTGCCTTCCTGGAATCTTTTCACAGTCTTTTCACCACTCCTATATTTACAGCTGAGGAAATGAAGCAATGAGGTTTAGAATCTTGCACAAAGGTCTCAAGGTTCATGAATGTCTGTGCTGTTATTTGTACCCAGGCCACCTGTTCCATAGCACCGCATCAGCTCTGCTCCAAACATTGATACATATCCACAGCAGACTAATGTTCTTGGAAGCTGTTTCCAACCAGAGCATAGACATACACTTTAGCTGTGTTCTGTGTGACTACAGAGGCCTTGGAGAAGGGGGCCTTGCTGTGGAGTAGGCTGATGCCACCTGAAGACAACAGAGGCAGCTGGGGAAGGCCTCAGGCCACGTTCCTTCTCGTGGGTGAAGCCCTCTTGGGTTTTTCCCACGTAGGAGAACACAACTTCAAGCCCACAGTGAAGGTACATGCAGCATATACAGTTAATTGGGATATATATGTGCCTATTAAAGTATAATATATAAATACAGGTAATATATAAACACACACACATGCACATAGATATGCATATGTTTTTTTTTTTTTTTTTTTTTTTTTTTTTTGGGGGGGGGGGGGCCCTCCCCGGGGCCCCGGGGAGGGCCCCCCCCCCCCCAAAAAAAAAGCAAAAAAAAAAAAAAAGAAATAAAAAGTGACCCCCACATGCCAAAAAAATGCCATTTTTTTTTTTTTTTTTTTTTTTTGCTTTTTTTTTGGAGGGGGCAGGTCTCTCTACGGAGCCATGGCTGTTCTACAACTCACTATGTAGTCCAGACTGGCCTTGAACTCATAGAGATCCACCTGCCTTTGTCTCCTGAGTGCTGAGATTATAGATATGTACCATCATGCCCAGATTGTTTGCAGTATATTTTTAAAAAAGATTTATTCATTAAAACTTTTAGGCTTTTTTATTTTCTTAAGTGTTTTGTCTCTATGTATGTATATGTGCCACATGCATGCCTGGTGCTAGCAGAGGTGGAAAGAGACAGACCATCAGATCCCCCGAGACTGGAGTTATGGATGGTTGTGAATTATTATGTGGTTTGGAATCAAATGCAGATCCTCTGGGAAGAGCAGCCAGTGCTCTTAACCACTGAGCCATCTCTCCAGTTCTGGTATATTGTTTTAAAAACATCCTTTAGGCAGAAGGTTTTTTTTGTTTGTTTGTTTGTTTTTGTTTTTGTTTTTTTTTTTTAAGTAGGTCCCTGAGGACCTACAGCTGGAGTCCTGTCCTCAGGTTTACATGGCCACTCAGGCACCCCTACTCAAGCCCCTCACTGGGTCACACTGTAGATGTGCTCAGCTTAGAAAAGGCTGGGGCCCTGGAGGCAACAAAAACCTGCCATGGCCCCTAAGAAAGAAGCATCTAGGGCAGAACACACCCAAGATCCCTTATAACAGTGGCACTGTCATCAAAAGAGGTCCACTGTCCTCACTTTTTTCTCCAAATGCCTGCTCACACAGCTTCTCACCACCTTTCATTTTGTAGAGGAAACAGGGTTTCAAAGAGCCTAGGTAGTGCATGCTAAGCTAACCAATTCCACATTGAGGTTAAAGCCCACTTCCTAGCCTCAATGACCCCATAATGCATCTGCCCTGGGTATACATGGGCCTTCATCTCTCTGAGCACCCAGGCCACACCTCCCACTCATTGGCCAGCACCAGGCTTACTGCATAGTTCGTAGGTCAATGTACATTTGAGAGCTTTCCTGCTTGGTGCTTAGGCAAGAATGATACCTACCGTTCATTGTTCAGGGTCATTCTTGGGGGGTCCAGGTTGGGGTTCTCCATGGACTCCATCTGTGGACACCTTAGGAAGTAGTAGAGTGTGTGAAGAGCATCAGGGGACCATGTGATGGGTTGTGGTGGCTGGCGGGCTTGGCGAGCAGGGCTGGTGCCTGGGCACAAGGGGTGGCGCCCCTGCATGTGATGCATAGCTCTAGAGACCAGGTCACCTGGAGAAGGGAAGGAGGAAAAGGACTGAGTCTGAGTTCCCAGCCCACATCCTCTTAGGGGAGCAGCTCCCTCCCTTCACTTAGTATAATTACTGTTTACCCCAGAGTCAACAGGCTGAGGAGGAGACTGTCACCTAGCTGCACAATAACAATTTGGTTTCCCTTTCATTTCCAGTCTTGCCTTAACAGCTGAATTACAAACACTTGGCAGAGCTGTCTCCTCCAGAACTTATGCTAATGTGGTTTCCTTTTCAACATCTCCATTCTCTCCACCGCCCCAGGGGCCTTCCCTCAGTTCTCTGACCATGGGAACCAGCCAAGCCTAGGCTCTGTGGAGTCTCCCCTATGTTATCATGTGCAAAAACCTGGATGATAATGGCAACCACCATCCACTGAATACTCAATTGTGCACAAAGGATGCAATTCCTTAGAAATACAAGTCACCTTAATCCTTACAGTGCTAAGATCAGTATATTGCTATGTTTAAATGAAGGCATTGAGACTTACCTGCCAAACATATCCTAACCCCATGTGTTCTGGTCACAGGGAACCTATAGTAGGGTATATAGGCTGAGTCAACTAGCTGATTGCAAAATCCATGAACTTGACTGTGCTATGGACTGTACCCTGCCTTACTGGAATCTGTGGGGTCATAGGTCCCCATATCCTGTTTTGTGTTTCTGTCTTAGTCTTTTCAACATCCCACCAGCCTCTTACAGGAAATGTCCCATCATTGTGTGAGGCCACAATGCTGAGAAAGGATGGTCTGAAACCGCCCCAAGCACTTGCAGACACCTCTGACTAGTGGCGCCTTTGCCTTCTCCAGGCCTGAGAACTCAGGGTGTTTCTCCTGTGGGTCAGCCTTCCTGAACTCAGAGTAGACCCTTATAGATGGCCCTTTCTACAGGAAGCCTTAAGAACCCAGCCAACTCCAGAGCAGCAGTAATGACCAGGTTCTAACTGCAATTATAAATCAGCAGAGCCAATGCATTACTTTATCTGGTCAACCTCCATCACTCAGCTTGTGGGTGTCAGGTTCTGTATATCTTTGTGTTCCCAGAGCCCTGTAGAATCTCCAATACACAAGGTGTTGGGAAATGCCTGGTTAGTAAATGAAGAAGCAGTCTTGTGCATGAATTTCATTTTCGAATACTACAACAGGTAAGGCTTGACTTAGGTATACTGACTACCACAATCTCCCAGTACAGTCACAGTGACGGTGACTGGATTCAAGCCAGGATAAATGAACAGAATTGGAACACTCCACCTAAAAAGTCCTCCGTGTACTATCCCCAACCAAGGCAGACACAGAAGACACAAAGAATCCCTCCTGATTCTTTTCATTCCTCAAATTACAGTTAGCTGCTTGGGGACTCTGGCCTGGTAACAATGGGATCCTGATGCTAGCCATGTCCAGGCAACTATTGATTGCCTTGGTCCAGGGCAGGATTTGGCACCTTTAATTTGTAAAAATCCTTTGGTGATTTTATTATTCAGTCAGGTTTAAAAATCACCACCAAGAAATCTGATCAGAGTCTAAATTCTAGAGTCTAGTACTTGTGGCTTCAGATTGAAGGTCAGCTGCTTCTAGTCTGTGCAGCCCAAGTAATGATCAGAGCCTCAGTTTTCTCATCTGTGAAATAGAGATTCAAGCACACAATCAATTTTGAGGAGTTAAAGTAATAAGAAATGTGAACCTCTTTGGAATTAAGTACTCATTTATTGAAGTTGAGGATAACAGCAGCATCACTAACATCCAGTTATCACCATTCCTCTATCTTTCCTGAGCCTCCTGAGGTTCTCAAAGAACTACTGCTACATATACACACTGCCCCATATTTCCCAAGAGAGGAGGAATCTGGTCCTGCAATGCCAGGTTTCAGCCCTGCCTTGGGGCTCCTGGGTGGCAGAAACTAGCATCAAAAGCAGCAAGAGGCTATGCCTCCAGCAGCCAGTACCAGCTAAATTGGTGGCAGAAAGCCGAAACTTGGCTCCTTAGTCTCTAGGTCTAAATGTCGTAACAGCTGGTGAGTCACAGGACTACAAGGAGGAGAAATCAAAGTGTCTGAGATAGCATCAAAGAGATGTTGTGTTGAAATACCATTCCAAAGGCTGGACAAGGTAAAAGTCATTAGCATTAATTATTTTTATTGTTGTTTTATTGTTATTGGTGGATCACCCTTTGGCAGCACATTTCCAGCCAGAACACAGGCAAGAGACTCGTAGGGAGCAAGGGGGGTTCCCTTTACGGGTAAACAGGACACAGGGGCCCAGAGAATCAGAAAAACCATGAAGAAGAGAGGAAGCGGCTTCCTCAGTTTAAATCCTTGCTAAGTGAAGGGCAGCTTTTCTCCAAGGCCAAGGGACAACTCAGATAGGACTTGTAGAAAAGCTTAGGCAATTCCATAACCCATCTATGGCCAAAGCCACAGCTTGCCTTGGAGCCTCTCCTTGAGTGATTTTTAACTCCTGTCATTTTTTATTTTTTAAGCTTTATGATAGACAAAAAACACAGGCAAAATCTCATCCAATATTTAGACCCACCTTGGAAGGGGATAATTATTTCCATTGAGAAAAAGAGGAACTAGGCTTCCAGGAGTTCAAAGATGGGTCAGAGATGCAAACAAGCATGGAAGTTAGCTGGGACTGTACCTGGGGCCTCACCTCCCCCATCAGCTCTGAACTGTTGCACACATACCACACGAAGTGCTGCCTGTGAGCTGGAACAAACCACACTTGGTACTGGCTGTAAGCCTGCTAATAGCTCACAGGTTAACTCTAGAAATGAAGAATGATTTTTTAAAAAAGATGCTCATAAGGCCTGGGGATGTAGCTCATTTGATAGAGTGTCTGTCTAGCATGTATAAAACCCGGGTTTGATCTTCAGCATGGAATAAGCCTGGGCATGATAGTATATGTCCATAATCCCATTTAGGAGACAGGGGTAGAAGGATCGGAAGTCCAAGTTCATTAGCTATACTAGAGAGTTCGAAGCCATCCCGGGCAACATGAGACCATGTCTCAGGAAAGAAGGGGGGAAAGAGACATCTATGGAATTTGGTGGTAATTGTGTGTTTAAGAATAATTTTTAAAAATCAGGCTTTCATTTTACATGTCTTATTTCATTTTTTGGTACCCATTTTTAGTGCATTTTGCAAAGTTTCAATCTATATAATTGAGTGCAGGGCTATCTGTGGTCCCTTGGCACAGCTCATTCCTGAACCTTGAGCTGGCTGGGCTGGGCTCTTACACAGGTGGACACTTGGTGCTTTTGGAACATCCTTGTATTGTATTTGAGAATCAAGTGATTCCAAGCTCAATGAAACCTTGGTCTCATGCCCAGAAACACCCACCAGGCATGGGAAAACAAGCCCTCACCCCTTACTAACCATGAAAGACTTGATTAGAGGTGCTACAGGTTTCGCACAGGTTGTTCCAACCCTCATTATGAGCCATCAAATAAAAACAGCAGGCAAGAGTCTGGAATGGAGCACCATCTTCAAAATAAGCTCTAGAACATCTGGCCACCCTTAAAGAGAAATGCTTTGTTTTCTGCTCACTCCTTCTCTTTGAAATTTTCATGAGTACAGAGAAAACCTAAGGACCAGAGCTCTCCATGCAGCGAGACCTGTTCCAAGAAGGAATCTTCCTAACTTAGCAGGCAGGCTGGTCCTGGCTGGGCACAGAGATTAATGCATGGAAAGTCTAGGGTAAATTCTAGGCCCACAAAGCTCAGTGCCAAGTATCACTAGCCTCATTAAGGTCTTTAGTCTCTGCAACAAAAATTAAAATATCTGCCTCCACCTTTGTCCCCTCCCCTGCAGAGTAGGTTAGCAGAACCTTTGGTTTCAGAGGGAGGGGCCAGGCAATGTGGTGGCGTGTGACACAGCCTGTTCTGCTGTCTCTCAGAAGGTACACTGGAGATGTCTTCTCTCGGTGTCCTAAGGAGTGGCCAGGCCATGACCAAGCTCAAGCCCCGGAGAGTTTCAGAAGCAAACTGGGTGGGACAGACTCATCCCTTCTAGTGCGCATGTGGACTCTTGAGAACCCATGTTCTCATTCATACACTGATCATCAGGCGCTGTTACCTGTGTTGGGGAAAAGTTCTGTGCACCTGGGAAAAAGCAGTAGGCAAAAGCAAGCAAGCCCCTTGTTGTGACTGATACTGCAATTTCTAGTGGGAATGGAAAACTAAATTACTTATGAGTATATATCTAAGTTACAAGTGGTGGCTAGTGCTCTCAATAAAGCTGAAGCCAGGATACAGGGGCTTCAGAACCCAGTCATTGAGTTCTTTTTAACATTCTCCCCAGGCCCTGTACTTACTCAGCTCTGAGATGCTGCCCACACATGTGGCCAGGAGAGACTGCTCCAGAGTCCGAAGCTCCAGCTGAGCGTAGGCATCAGCTCGCTCATCATGGCCCAGAGACCCACCATTGTAGGGACTGAAGTAGGCAGGGAGAGAGAGGACACCTGTGGGGGAAACAAGATGCAGAGGTCACACTGGGAGCAGAGAGGAACTCTGCAGACCATACCACAGCTACTCTTTCCCACTCCCCTGTCCTCATGGGACACGTCCCCGAGCCTCTGGATTGTGGGTTTTTCCTCTGCCTAGTGCACCAGGGGTCATAATGAGAGAGAAGTCCACCACTTCTGCTGGGGTTTTACCCCTATGTATATAGAGTTTGGAATTGCCAAGGAACTAGCCTATAGGCTCAGAGGCCTTTCATTGAGTATTTACAACAAGCTTGGCTGGGCCACAGTGCTCCTTTCAGGGTTCTGGGGTAACATAGAGCCCCGGCTGTTTCTACAGCACTTGGACTTGGTCACTTCTGATGATCACAATCTTGTTCCTTCAAAGGCCAGCTGCCTGCAGAGTCCTCTCACTTCTCCACTCAGCCCAGAAGGCTGGGAACCGCTCCTGGAAAGGGATACTGCCCTCCCTACTTTATGAAGGGACTGTCCCAGCCTCTGGCCAAGTCCAATTAGTGTTTCTCATTAGCACTTCAACAACAGGGAAGACAGACTCAGAATCCATCCCAGGGGATGCCAGCTTGTAAATCTACCCAGCTCACTGTGTGGCTTTTTAGCATGAACCAGAAATGCAGAACCTGTGGCATGGAGATGCTCACTGCACTCAGAGCCTAGGGCAGGGATTCCAAAATTCTGGGAATCTCTGATGGACTCTTCAAACTTCTGCCTAGTATTTGCTTATGTATTTTTTTTAAAGGCCATAGAAATCTAGCCAGTCACTTGGTGGGGGATGGGAGGTGTCTAAAATTTCTTGAGAAAACTAGAGAGTTCTAACTTGGGTAAGACCGAGTTAGAGTCCCCTCTTTGGCATGCAGGGATGTGACAAGGATATACAGCAGTAGGGAGTGGTTAGGATAGGCCTCTGGAGTTCACAAACACTGGCTGACATGTGATTAGCCACATGATCTTGGGAAGGCTACTTGGTATCTCTTAACTACAGACAATGGTGGGAGAACATAAGTAACTCTCAGGTAGGATTCAGATCCAGTTGAGATGGACCTAGAATATGTACACTTGATGCCCTAGTGAACACACCACCAAGGCTCATGCTACCCCTATTCAATGGCTCATGTTGAGGTGGTAAAAGCAGTAAGGCCCGGTGGCCAGTTGGTGGCATGGGAGGAGGAGGGAATGGAGAAGGATGACTCGGAGGTCTCCTGTTCAACTACTGAGTGGATGCAGTACTGCCAGAGGAAAGAGTGGAGGAGCAACAGGAGGCTGCAGCTTTGGGAAACCAGGAAGACCCTGGGAGCTTAGGTGCCATCTACCTGGCCTGCAGGCAAAGTTCAATCCACAGAGAGACCCTGGCTCAGACAAAAGGTGTAGACAAGCTTGAGAACTGATATTATGTTCTCTGACCTCCATACATGCTGTGTGTGCGCACGCGCGCGCGCACGCACACGCACACACACGGCAGGGGGTGGGATGAGATATCAGACCCACAGAGAACCCTAAATCAGCAGTTCTCAACCTGTGGGCAATGCTAGGCCCTTTCACTTAAGCATATTCTCCCCTGAGCCTGTGGCATTTCTCTCTTGTGGGACAAAGGCACATGGGTAGTCTTCCTTTGGCCTGGGCCTTCCCTGGCTGTGTCTCTCTGGATCATCCTGCAGGTGCAATGACAGTTCTGTCTCCATCTTCCTTGGTACCAGAGTGGCTGAGGCCCTCTATGCCCCTTACCCCCATCACAGCTAGTATTTGGATCCACAAGGACTGAACCAAAGCACTTGCTCAAATATTTATTTCCAGGGAAGGAGAAAGAGCATGTGGCTAGGTCACTCTTAAACCTTGCCAGGCTCCTGTTCCCTAAAGCAGAAATTCTAACAGCTGAGTCACCAAACACATTAGGACAAGTTGGCTCTGAGCATTAACATGAGTTAAACAAAAGAAGAGAAAGCCATTCAAGTGTGAGTCCCAACCCCAACAGCCAGGGTGGGGGTGGGGTTCCTGTGGCTGCCCTAGTAGGTCCAGCGCCTCCTCCTTTCTCCCTTTTCATTGACAGAAACAACACTGGGGACATGTGGATCACATTTGCAGTGCTTAAGGCAAGGGCATAGGAAATTCAGCTGACATGTCAAAGGATTCCCAGTGAGAAATATTATGTCACAAGATCTGGTAACAGGAGCAGGCAACTCTGTTGGTAACTTCCTATTTTGTCAGTTGTCAGCCATCCAAAGGGGCTTTCACTTAATACTGTGACAAAAGCAATTATGAACCTGTTACTAATAATATTCAGAATCACAGCTTTTAAGAGACTGTTCCCTATATGTTTTATATGTTTTATTCTTCCAGCAAGGAAAACAATGCCCTCAGGATTAAAACTGATTTTAAAATATTTTGTGTGCATCTAAATGTGTGTGCATAGTATATGCATGTCTGGTGCATGACACATGTACAAGGACACAGGTTTGAGTATCCTTGCACACTCAGAGGTCAAAGGAAGCCATCCAAGTGCCCTGCTCTATAACTTTCTATATTATTCCCCTGAGGCATGGTCTCTCATCTAACCGGAGTTACACTGGTAACCAGAGAGCCCCAGTGACCCTCTTGGGTTACAGGTACATTTGCAGCCATAGCCAGTTTAATATGGTTCTGAGGTTTCAAACACAGATCCTCATGTTTGCACAACAAGGACTCTGACCCACAGAGCCATTTCTCTAGCTCCTACCACAGCTGCCTTACTGAGTTTCCATATCAGGCACTGTGAGAACAGCCCACACACATTATTTCACTTAAGTCACTCAGGCTTCATGAGGTGCCATGCTCGCTCTTCTTACAGCGACAAAATGTAGGCACGACAATGGTTACAGAGGTCACCAGAAACCGAAAATTCATCTCTGAAGAGATTTTAGTTGCTTAAATGAAATGGTATTTTAATTTTGGTCACCTTGTCCATTTATAGCAGTGGTTCTCAATCTTCCTAAAGCTGTGACCCTTTAATACAGTTCCTCATGCTGTGGTGACTCCAACCATACAGTTATTTTTGTTTCTACTTTGTAACTGTAACTTTGCTACTGTTATGAATCATAGTGTAACTTTTCTGATGGTCTTAGGTGAACCCTATGAAAGGGTCATTCAACTTATGAAGCAGCTGAGACCCACAGGTTGAGAACTGCTGATTTAGGGTTCTCTGTGGGTCTGATATCTCATCCCACCCCCTGCCGTGTGTGTGCGTGTGCGTGCGCGCGCGCGTGCGCACACACAGCATGTATGGAGGTGTGCGTGTGCGTGCGCGCGCGTGCGCACACACAGCATGTATGGAGGTCAGAGAACATAATATCAGTTCTCAAGCTCGTCTACAACTTTTGTCTGAGCCAGGGTCTCTCTGTGGATTGAACTTTGCCTGCAGGCCAGGTAGATGGCACCTAAGCTCCCAGGGTCTTCCTGGTTTCCCAAAGCTGCAGCCTCCTGTTGCTCCTCCACTCTTTCCTCTGGCAGTACTGCATCCACTCAGTAGTTGAACAGGAGACCTCCGAGTCATCCTTCTCCATTCCCTCCTCCTCCCATGCCACCAACTGGCCACCGGGCCTTACTGCTTTTACCACCTCAACATTTCAAAAATTGGCCACTGCCCCTGCTCCTCACCCTGGCCTCACTGCTCTCGGTCTGTAACTCTCCCACGCCTCCTCACTGCCCTTATGAAGGGATCCAGATGTCGTTCTCCAGGTTAGAATAGACAGTGTCTTTCTTTCCTTCTCTGAAACACTGGGGTGAGGAGTAATTCAGCCAGTAAAGCGGCAAACCTTCCAGCATGTCCCCCAGAATGTCAGCAGCCCGGAAGCCCAGCACACTAGACTGTTACTTTTCCAAGCTATGTTCCAGTGCTGTTCTCCTAGCTGACTCTAGTTTATAGGTGGGAGTGGAATAACCCACTTTCTTTCCAGTGATCCTCACTAGTGTCTAGAGAGGGTGTTGTTGAGGTAGGTGGGAAACTCCACCCTGAAGCCTGGGAACCTGCCTTCTCATAAGTAGGCAACACCCAGGAATTAACCCTGGTTTCTGCTTGCAGAGGCGCAGTCTCTCCCAGGCACATGCCATACCAGGAGTAGGCAGCATACCATATGAAATACAGGACCAACCTGAAGGTACCTCAAGTCTCTCTAGCACTTGAGTGGACCCCTCAAGCCCTTCCCCATATCTGCCATTCTAGTACTTAACTGCTAAATGGTCAGCATTGGCAATTGTGCCCCATTTGAATTGGAACTATTGATTACTGATTTCTCTATATTCATTTCAGAGTCATAACAGCACGTATGTGCATATGTGTGTGCATGTGTGTGTAAATATCCCCCACCTCCTGCCCTGTATTTTAATATTACAATATTAATGTAAAAAATGCTTTTATTTTGTGTGGGACTGAATGTAGTTTAGATTTTTCTGATCCTTCATTCCAAAGCCAGCCAGGCTGTAACTGCCCTTCAAAATCAACAATCCGTTAACCAGCATTTTCCCTAGCCTTGCAAGTGGACTCCTATGGAGTAAGCTTCCTTGCAGGCCTGTGACTGCAGCACCCCTTCTCCCTCCTCAGTTCAGGGACCCTCATGCAGGGGTCACCACCTACCCCACATTCTTCTAATGAAGATCAGGTACAATGAGTTACTCTTTTGCTGCACTAGGAAACACTAGGAGTTTGGATGGAGTTCTGTCTACAAGCTCCTGAAAACATAATTTGTATGGTTTCCAAATAGCCTGCACAGTCCCACTACCCTTCTCCCCTTTAAAAAGTCTTTGTTTTTGGCATTGTGGGGGTTAGGAGTTGATTTCTTTTTTTTTGTGACAGGTTCTCATATATTCTAGGGTGGCTGCAAACTCCCTATGTAGTTGAGGATGGTTTTGAACTCCTGCCTCTATGTCCTAATGCTGAGATTAATAAGTTTATGCCATCATGTTCAGCTTGAGATAAAATTTTATTTATAGAATATTTAACATCCTCTTATTGT